ATATATATACAAAAAAATGTAAAAACTTAGTAATCACCTTTTAGCACGTGTAATGCTATAGAACACGATATACGTAGAGATCGAGAATCTCACACTACAGTCGAATTCCGGATGGTCACGAAATATAAATTACATAGAGTGGCTTTTACTATGTAATACATATAAGATACATTATTTTGTAGTCTATTTATATGGATTTTTCAACATTATAAAAATATATGGCTATGTAAAAATTAAACAGCTAATTAGAAACATTAAAAAATTAATGAAAAATTACCAGAACTAAATAATTTAATGGGTAAATTTTAATCTATAAATATAAATAATATCTATAAATAATCTATAAATCTATATATTATTAAATTATTTATATTTTTCTAATTTCCAAATTTCAAGCATTTTATGAAAGCTCTCTATAATTATAATTAAATTTTATTTAAAATACAATAAAAAATCATTAACAATCAAATTTTGTATATCATTAAAATAAATGAGAAGATATAAAAAAACTACATTTTAATAAAAACAATTAATACCGAAAACGCATGAAAAATCAAAATAAAAGTGCAAAGTTGTAATATTCTTCAGCAAACATGATAGCAGGTATGAGTGAGATATTGCAGGCATTAAGTGCTATGTATATCACAAGTCGAGCTCATCACGTGGCTTCGACCCCTTCGGATAAAATACTATTATTGTGTTTATGTTAAGGAGGGATATGGTTTTCTTCTGTTATCATGTGTTACATACCATATTTAATCCATTTATAATAAATTATGTTCAATTAAACGTAATGAATCCCTTTATTTAATCATGTCAAAAAAAAAAAATAATAAATTGCATTTTTTTTTTTTTAATTTAGAAATATGAAAAATTTATGTTGTATACACAAGATTAGCGTTTTAGTTCCACGACGACTAAAGCAGAGTGGGGAAAACCTCTTCTGCTTGTGATTCAGTTTGCGCACGACTTATCAAAACACGTGGTAATAATCATATTTACACATTACTTCTTTATCAAATTAGCTTGTATAGCTTGTATAGCTTGTATAAGTTATGTCAAATATTTAATATTTTGACGTCGTTTATGTTTTACTATTTGTATGTAATGTTACAAATAATTGTAAACATATGTTTATGCTTAAAATACAATAATATTACATATTTTAACAGAAAATATATGCAATAATAGTATTAGAAAAAAACGAAATAAAAAGACCAAATTTTTATTTAAAAATATTTTTTATTGGTACATGTTATATATAACAAATTTTATCAAATGATGCAAGTGATGTATAACAAGTGTTGGTATAAAAATTGCACTTAATAATTCTTTATTTTATGTTTTAGGAATATTTTTAAAATGGAACTTAAATGTGAAGTGCAAACTTATGATTGGGGAAGATATGGGATTGATAGCACTGTTGCAACATTAATGAAATCTGCAAATTCAGATTTTGTATTAGATGAAAAGAAACCATATGCTGAGCTATGGATTGGCACACATCCTAATGGTCCTTCATATATGAAGGAATTAAATATATCTTTAGAAGAATATATAAAACAAAATAGTAAAATATTAGGAAATGATGTTAAAAGAATATTTGGACATCATTTACCATTTCTCTTTAAAGTATTGTCTGTGAATAAAGCATTATCAATTCAAGCACATCCAAACAAGGTATATTTACATATATTAATGATACATATATATATAGGTATTATATATTTCTAGTAATAAATGTTTTTATGTGATATAATGTTAAATATATTTCAATATAGGAAAAGGCAAGGGAATTACATCAGCAATATCCTACTATTTACAAAGATGCAAATCATAAACCAGAACTTGCAATAGCATTAACTCCATTTGAGGCTCTTTGTGGTTTCCGTCCAATCTGTGAAATACAAGAGTTTCTAAAAATTCTTCCAGAATTACGTACTATAATAGGAGAAAATAAAGTACTTAAATTTATAACAACAGATGAAGCAAGCAGTACAGAAACTTTGAAAACATGTTTCCATAGTCTTATGACTTGTGATCCTGAATTAGTAGCATTACAACTTAAGAAATTACTTGATAGACTATCTAATTTAGGTAATTTTCATTAATTAGACATGTATAAATACCTTTTCATTAATAAAAGATGTAATTTCTTCTAGATGAATCATTAAGGCAAACTTTACATGCTAGTTTAATGGAGAGACTACACTCAGATTATCCAGGAGATGTAGGATGTTTTGGCATTTATTTTTTTAATTTTATAACACTGCAGCCTGGTGAAGCTATATATCTTGGACCAAATGAACCACATGCATATCTTTCTGGTGGTCAGCATTCTATAACATATTTTATACTGTTGTTTTTATAATATAAGATAATATACTTGAAAATAATTATACTTTAACATATTTTAAAATTGTATTTATAGATTGTGTAGAATGTATGGCATGTTCAGATAATGTAGTGCGTGCAGGTCTGACTCCTAAATTAAAAGATGTGCCTACATTAGTTGAAATATTATCTTACACTTGTGATCCAATTTCTGCAAAAAAATTTCAACCTTCTCGTGAAGACGAATGCACAGAAATATTTCGTCCTCCTGTAATAGATTTTGCTGTTGCTAAGATTACTGTAAGTTGTTTTTATAAAATATTTTCAATTAGTTATTAATTGTATAAAAAAATAATATTGTTTTTAGATTCCTCCTGGAAGAAGTTCATATAATATAATTCCCAGAAGTACAGCTAGCGTCTTAATTATTATTAACGGAAAGGGTGAAATTTCACCGTCAAAAATTCTTTGTCAAGGATCTGTTGTATTTATTCCAGCAAATGAAAAAGTTGGAATCAAGGTTTTATGCGGATGTCATCCGATGTTGATGTTTCAAGCTTTTGTAAATATTTAAGAGTAATCATTGAATGTTTAAAAAAAAAGTGATGAAAAAACAGTATATTTGCACGCACAAAGTATTATTGCACTTTTCAATATTTCATAGTCTAAAGTTAAAAACTTGATCTCCAAATTTTATCAGTAGCTACGAAAAATGGAGATTACAAAATTTTTGGATGTTCTTGATATTCTTCTTTCTTGTAATAGAAATGTTTTTCGTAGTAAAACATTCCATAGTTCGTATTAAATGCTAAAGAATAGGATTTTATATCTAGATATAATATTTCTAATATTCAACCACGAATGCATAAAATTAAATAACTTTTGTATTGGAAACATTTATCATTTACAGTTCCTACTATATGTATTACAGTGCACTTTAAGTTATAAACGACATTCCTTAAATTAAATTCTGTTTTTATGGATTAAGAAACTTATCACTTCACTTTTTTCGGATTAAGAGAAGAGGTATACCAATTTATACAGTAATGTATCTAAATAGTTTTTTATTTTGAAACATACATGTTTATAATTATATTTACATTTGCAATAATACACTGAACATACTTGTACTATTCAATCTTGTAAGAAAACTATATGCACTCAGTTCTAGTCAGTTTATGTTAACTATTACTTTTTTATTCTTATTATATATACAGAAAGACTATATACAAGTTTAAGCAATATAATCATATAAAATCAATATTTAATAGCTGTCATTCCATAATGTCATATTTTTTAAAAAAACCTGTACTTATTATAAATGAAGTGATAACAACGAATTAAATCATTTTTTAGATATTTTAATGTATGTATACAATATGTTATCTTTTATGTACAGTTTTAGAAATATTTATAAATCTTGTAATAATTATGTATTTTAAATAATATAATTATATTTTTTTGTATAAGGTATAAATATATGCTTTAAAAATTTACAATTTTCTTCTATTATAATAAAAGATTTATATATTTATAAAAGTGATTGATTTAACTTTTGACTATTTATATTAAAAAAATAAAGAAATAATTTATAGTCTTAATCTTAATCCCTTATATAGATACAACACAATAAAATTAGCATAAATATATATTCAAAAAAATTTGTTTAAATAATGTTAATTTTGCACAGCCTCAAATGTGAAGTAGTGTAAAATACTTTATTTCAAATTTCATCTTAAGTAAGTCAAAAATAATGGAAGGAAATATGTATATATATACAAATACCATTCTTTCTAATCATCATCAGATTCGTCAGTTTTTTTTTGAATGCCTTCAGGTTTTTCTTCCTCTTTGTAATGTCGGTATTCTGGTTTCAACTCCCACATATTTCTATGAGGATTTTTTAAATTATAATTACATACTTCATTTAATATCTCCTTTAAGTACACCTAATATAATAAGATAAATAGATTAATAATAATATAAAACTGATATAGACACAAATGTATATTAATATGTTTATGTAACTATAAAAAAACATTATTTACAATAGGTTGTCTTGTAATTTTTACAAGATCTCTTATGTTGTAATACTGATGTTTTTCAAATGCAGCAAACAACATGTCCAATACTGCATCTTTATCATCTCTCATCTTTTTACCCTCTGCTTTTTTCTTTTCTGCATATTCAATCTATAATAATATTTAAAACATTTATGTAATATATACAGAAATATACTTTACATATTTCAATGAAATACTTACATTATGCTTATGATCAGAAACAGGTTTGAAATTTTGAACTACCCTATCTAATTGCTGCACCTGTCTTTGTGGCACAGAAGCCCTTTTAATGCTTTGTAATTTTAACTTCATATAACAATTATCAGCTAAAAGTTATAAATATATGTAAATTATGCAATTCATCTCATAGAAAAATATTTCAAGTTCAAATATTTTAGAATGCAATTTTTACCATATGGACGACATTCTAATTTTTGTACTATCCTTCCTTCCATATAAAGTTTTTCAGTTTCAGGAACTATAGAATCTGAACTACTCGAAGCTGAACAAATATAAGTTTATTAAACATTTATTAAACAAGTTTATTATTACTTTATTAGATATATTTCAAAATTCTTTGCAATAACTTACGTGTAACATGAGAAAATACACCTAACATTTGTTTTGTTACTGTTGTAACATCTAATCTATGTTGCTTTGGAATCTCTTCCTCACCAGGTTCTTTTAAAGCTAAGACAGCTTCTGACAATCTAAGAGATACTTCTGCTTTTTGGCCAGGATTTCTGAAAATGTATATAAAATTTAATTTTTTTATAAAACTAAAATATTAAAATATTATTACATTATTGAAAACATACTTAGTTATCTTTAATTTTCCAACTTCTATATTACCAGGTGCTTTCTCCCATTTATTTGCTATGTATTTGGGTACTTTCACGAGCCACACACCTCTACCAGCATTACTTAAATCTAATTCTTTTTCAGTATGTGTTACGTTTGTAGACATGATTTTTTTTTTAATAGGATTACTATTTCAAAAATCGGTTATGATGTGAAATAAATAAAATCGAATTATTTATAATACACTATATGTTTCTACTTCTCGAATTTTACAAAAATATATTCAAGAAATATACAATAACAAATTCTATTTATTTTTATTTCGCAACAGATATTGTAAATAATTATCCCATTTAAAAATATAATCCTTATCACTCCTTTTGTTTACACTAGAGGTTACAAACGTTTATACGGTATACTCTGAAATACAATGTATATTATGTGAATGGATCTAAACCATTGATTAAAAACATTTCAGACTTACTACATACAAATAAATATAATTAAGTCGTTTCATGTAATACGGATGTAAAGTTATATTATTGAATAAGAATAAAATTTAAAATAAAAATACACTTTATAAAATTATTATGTACATTTTTTATTTTTTATTACATAAACGTATGTTGCAAATTACAATTTGAATAAAATATAACGTACAATTTATAATTTAAAATGAACAATTTCTAGTACACTAAATGATTACCGTTACATGTGATACGGATTTAAAACAATAATAAATACAGAATATTAATATGGTATTGATATACAATTTAGTTGATAAATGTTTTTCTTCGCTAGATTTAACAAAATTTTTGAGAAAATAAAAAAATAAAGAAATATTTCGTATCTTGAAGGAAACGTCTTTTCTATGTAGGTATATTATAGCTTTGTTTATACATTCATTAAATAAAAGGATAAATAAAAATTGTCTTATATTTGGATTACAAAAATATTATAAAGCAACAAAAATACAATAATATTAATCAAATTAAAAATATTTCACTTTGCTATGTGAATGGCAGGAAATTAATATAAAATATAACCTATTCAAACGATTCTTAGTGTCATAGACATCTATTGCTTAAACACCTTTTGTATGTAATTTAAATAATTTCTATTTGCAGGATATAAAATGGCATCCACATTTACCGTTATAACTCGACAGATTTCAACATCATCAACATGTTACGGTAAAAGAAATTTTCGTACGATTCAATTATACAATAAAAGAGGTTCTCGTGCGTTTAAGAAAGAACGAGCTACAGATCCAAATTGCGATATACCTATTGACAGTACGTATTGTTATACTTTGTTAGTATAATAAAGGATGATGAATATAAAATTACCTTTTTATATACTTTTAGTATATACTTTTTAGTATATCATGATGGTAAAAAATAAAAATTTATATGACGATTAAATATTTTCAGGAAGAGGTGTAAAACCAACAGGACACTATGTAAATAACAAATGGGTTAACATACCAGAAATGATACCAGAACTCGTTGTTCCTTCACTGAAAGATTTTCATTTAAAGCCATATGTTTCATATAGAGCTACAGGCATTACCAAACGTGAATATACTGCTAAAGATTTATTTAATTTAGTTTATGCTAATAAAATTAGACAAGATTTCAAGAAGGGTCAATTAGATGAAAATGGTGAATCATTAAATCCTAGTGAATATGAAAAAATGACAGCTGAGGAAGCTAGAATTAAGGCCGAAATGACTGGTTCAGATAAATTCCAAGTAAAAAGAGGAGACGTTCCTAAAAAGCCATATAAAACAAAGGTAGAATAAAAATGGGGTTTACTAAATGTACTGTAATTGAATAAATTTACTTTCAAATAAAGTGTAGATTTAATTTTATAGTTTGCATGATGTTTTATTCAATATGCTCATACGCACAATGTATACATTTGTTAATAGTTTTGTAATTTATAATCAGTAATTATTTACCATCATAAATGACTTCAAAAAAATCAAATACTAATTTAGTATAAAATTATAATTTATTGCAAATACAAAAACAGATTTTTCAATCATGAGTAAAATGTATTGAACTTTTCCATTGACTTTACATAATTATATTATTAAATAATATATTTTATTGTTACACTAATTGATGGTAAATAATTGCTTTACGAAGTACTTAAATGCGTTGATTGGACAGTGTATATCGCTAAATAATAATTTCATGTCATATAACATTTGCAAACGCTTTTATCGTTAGTAAAAATGATACTGCAAAATTCAATAGTACTTTCGTGAAACAAATTTATTTACTGTTAAATTATCGGTACACGTTTATAGATGTTTGTCTCATGCAATTTTGAATTTCTATCATTCCAAAAAAGACATGGATGGAAATATATAACAATGCCAAAACTGATTTTCAATTCCTGAGTTCTTCTAAAACTGTTTTCAGAATGTCTTTTCGAGAACAATATGCCAGAATAAGATCTCACATGATTATGCTAACTTAACAGCTACTTTTTTACTTATCAAAAGATTTTTTGAGCGAAGTTTGATTGTTTTTATTGGGTAAAAAATGGCGGAAAATTTGAATATTAAAGTCGTTGTCAGTTGTGCGCGGCCGGTATTGCTTCCTACTGACTAGACTACTAGAACCTAATATATATTTGCTCTAAAAAGTGCTGTATTCGTATCAAAATGTACAAATATGTTAATGTTATTATTGATCTTTTTGTTATCACTTAAGAATAACTATGCAAAAAGCTTGTAATGTAGAACTATTTAGTTTTTGTTCCGAGTAAAATGATAACTTTGTACTTACATTTATGCAAGATATAGTATTGATAAATATTCATGCAATTTTTATTTTATGTAGAAAATGATAATGCATACAAAACGTATAATCCAAAATGTAAATAGTCATTACTTATGTTCAATATCATGTATATAACAATTTTATTTAAACATCTTTACAGAATGCAGCACTTTTTTTTACTTTTTTAAACAGCAGCTACTATTTATCACTATTTATTGTTTTTATTATTTCTTAATTTTCTATAACGATCATAATGAAGAGTGGAATGATGAAACACCTAATTTTGTACAACATTATTAGAATAGTTATTAATAAAAACATGTAACAAAAAACTTTAACGTGGTTTCTTTCATTTATTAACTCCACTCTTCAATAACTTACATAAAAAAGCATAAGTGGCATAGTTCTTGCACTCAATTCTAAATAAAATTTATTTAGAGTGTTTCTGCAAAGTTTCACTTACTGTGTTTTTATGTTACATTGTAACACATGTATACCTTGTCTTTCACTTGAGCATTGATTTCTCTTACTTTGTTTTCTAGATTTTACTCTGTATTTAAACATTTTAATTAACTCACTCATTTCAAGTAAAAATCATAAAATTTACAAATTAATTGCGAAATCGTTCATATCGATTTATATATACTATTTTTTGATTCTATTGGATTACAACATCGTAAAAATAATAAATGCGTACAGATAATACATTGTCAATATTATATGATAATTTACCGAAATGTATTCAGGAAGCACATCAAAAGCACTCTTCATTAAATACCATTAAAATATGTACGCGTATATACGTTGTACTTTCAATTAAACATGGTTATTGTACAGCAAGACATATGCCACTTGCTCATGAATATAAACTTGGTTGGTGTTTTTCTTGTTAATTATCAGTCTATGATATAATTGGATATTTGACTGATAAAATCAGCCAGTTAATAAGGCAGGTGCACATGCTACTACATGACAAAGATTTTTAACAATGTTACATTTTCATTATAAATATGTGATATATATTATCATACGAATGAAATATATGGATGTTAAAGATATGTGATAAAGTATGATGCTCAAAGCATACAGATTATGAAACTGAATTTAAATAAAAGTAATCTTTGACATTTAGTAACATGTACCTTCCATTTAATTAAAGATTTTGCGTATGAAAGCTAGAATATCACGGAGGAAATAGTTCTATAATGAAATTTATACAACATTCTCCTTGAATACTTAAAAAATAGGTATAATAAAATACATAATTATATAAATAAAAATACTGATATGGAAAGACTAGGAAGGCAATACTGCTTATTGTATTTCACGTATCTAATCTAGTCTTTCAGACTCAAAATCTCCAACACTAAAAATATAACAGGGTAGATGATTATTCCATTGGATCCCCAACGTTTTCGAAGATGGTTGAATGAGGGTTGCTTCCAGTGGGCCATAAGAAGCCACCTACACTGCCAGGTGGCAAATATGATGCTCCTCCACTAAGGCCCACCTGATATATTTTCTTCTTTAAATTATTTACATTTTGTATATAATTTCTGTGTTCAATATCTTTATCATATAATGTTAAGAAAATAAAATCTAGGAAGCCAAATAAGGGAAAGATGCTACAAATGATATGCATTTTTCAAGCTTAATGTTTAGGTGTTTAACACTGCATTGTTTAAGGGTTTTTCAGTCGCAGTTGTGCTGATATATGATAGTTCTTTAAGTTGTATGGTTATTAAGTTATGTACCAGTGCAGATGTCGTGTTGTTTATATACATAACAGGCAAGTAAGTAACTATTCAATGTTTTGTATTGCACAGTTATCAAAATAAAATTTTTTTATTTCATGTTTCTAGTATTATGTATTAATAATACAAATATCATAATTCATATGAATGCTAGTCATATGAATGCTAAAAGAAAAAAAATTATAAACTTTTTTGTTAACTGTACACTGACATTCAATTTAGGTTTGGTACAACATGCACGAAGTAAGGCAAATCAGAGTGAACAATAAAAATTAAAGAAAAATAATTGTTTATTTGCTAACACAAATAATTGTGCTTCTGTATCACAAATAAGGTCTAATTGCTAATATCATAAACAATGCTAATTATATTTACATTAATTCATCATTATGAGCATGATACACGCTCACAACCATGTTAACATCGTGAAAGGAACAAGTAACATAATACTCTATGTTTGAGTTCGAATATAGGTACGCAATTTTGACACAATTTAAATTTGCTCCAAAAGAACAATGACGTCATGATCGTTGGACAGATACCAACAAGTTATTTTGCGTTCTTTTATTCCGACTCGATAACTTTTTTTTATTAGACAGTTCAACCAAAACGATTTTTTAAATTTCTATTTATAGAATTACCTGTTGGCTCCACAACAGCGTCCTTTCTGCTAACTGACAATCTGCTGCAAGTCGAGATGGTAGACTTTTCCATCTTTCTTCATCTCGTTTTCTTTCTCTATCAAAGTCTCTATCAACATGTCCCTGAGATAAAGGTGGTAAGATCTGTGTTCTTTGAGCTAGTTTATAACTGTCTTGTCTTGGTACGTGATCAGTACGTCTACTCGTAGTACTTGTTGATACTGGTATCGGAGTTGGACTTCCCCCGCCTCTATGTCGATGGTATAAGTTTCGTTTCTGTTGCAACATACGCTGTTGAACTAGCAACTGTAACTGTGTACTGGAATCGCCACGAATTTTAAACTGTGCTTGGTTTTCGGGCGGTGTAGATGGTGGTCTCAAATGAACAAGATCTAAATGCCCTCTAGCTTTGCCAGAATCTATGAAACGAGAACAATATTGTTATGATGCTAAAACAAAAAATGTTGTATAATAGAAACATCTTTAATATTTTGATACCTTGAATACTTCGCTGTTTGGTCGGTCTGTCTCCTCCGCCTTGTTGACAAAACAGTAATCTAGGTCCACCATCCGAAGCTCTACGACCTTGAGAAACTCTCGATATTCTACCGGCAATTGGCGATGGGCTCATAGGTGGTGGGTGTGTGCAAGAGGGCAAACTACTAGTAAATGAATTTGCCCCTGAGTAGTCTGGTGGGCAACCAGAATCAAAACTAGATTCAAAAAGCTCGGATGATGAACTACCGCTACCACCCGCAATAAATAACGTTGTTCGACTAGGAGGATCAATAGAATCCATAAGAGGGGTATCAAAATGGTGTTGGTAATCACTTAATCTACGATTGACTATTTGACTGTCAATTCGTTGACTGATATCATGATCTAGGCCTAGTCTATGTTCCTCGAGTTTAATTTGAGCTTCTCTCAATTCATCACCACTTGGACCTTCTTCTAAATCACCTTCTACACTACAACATCCTTCATCAGTCGAAGAACTAGTTGAACTAAATTTTTTTCCTCCTCGAGTTGCATCTTCCCTTGTTCTAGAAACAAATACATAATAAAATTTACCTGTGATATTCTAATTAATAAAAGTTTTTGTACTGATGAATGGATAAGTATCAATTACGAAGATTTATTTATTGGATTCTTGTCTCTCTTATTTGCTGCATCACTTTGATTTTTATCGATAAATATAAAAATATGTAAAATTATGAATTATAAAGTAACGAAAATTATACAACACGTCGACATAAGAACAAAACAAATACATATATTCAGTGATAAAAAATTACAACTTAAAATAAAAAGAAAGCAATGAAATAAAATGAAAGAATTACCAAAAATAAAGTGACAGCAAAGCACTTCCAATCCAACCTGTCCTGACAAAATCTTCAATACATGCGTCACCGTCAATAAAGATCAACGTCCCACTAAGCTATCGCTGTAAATAAAAATTGTATGATTAACATTTGATTCCTTATAAATTTTTATTGACGGGCAGGATTGGAAGATAAGTAAATGATTATTTCAATGAAAATTTTATACACAAAAATTGTCATAAAACCGATAAAATTTAAATTAATATTATAAAAGAATTAAATTATATATACCTTGATTTAAATTTATCATCTTTCGTTCTTGCAACACTTGGCCAGCAAGTATTGTTTGCTGTACTGCTGACAAGATGTTGCTTCAACCTCTCCAATAATAAGAAATAAATAGCAACATGATGATCATAGCTACTATTCCTTAATGACTGAAAGCACGATTAAAATCTTAATTTAATACATGAAAATTATTACTTATTTCACTTCTATAGCATCGTTATAATAGTTTATGAATGGTAAAATATATTAAAAAATACCTCTCTAGTTTTTGTGATGTCTATGCCTAAACTAAGCATAAGTCGAAGTACTTGTTCATTTGGTTCTTGGATGGACGATGATGACGATCTCGTTATAACCATTGAACAAACAGTATCTGCTGATCCAGCCATCCAACGATGTCTCTTTATTTGTGGAATGGTGTATCGTTTTGCAGGTTCCAGAACTAACATTTTACGTATTAAGCTTTCACAATCTATAACAAAAAATGAAACAATATTTTTTTAAAATAACATTGCACATTCTAAATTTTTAAATAAAATTATAAACTTAAGAAAATACCTGTACTCATAAAATATGGAATTCTAAATCTTCCACTCAAAACACGATCTCTTAAAGATTGAAGGGTAGATCCATCAAACGGCAGTGCTGCACATACTAATACATATAATACAACACCTAAACTCTGTAATAATAAAACCATAATGAGATAAACTGTTCGTATTACATATTATAATATACTTAATATATATGGACTGCTTACCCACACATCAATTTCAGGACCTGCATAATGTTTTCCACGAAAAACTTCTGGTGCTGCATAAGGAGGACTTCCACACCACGTACTTAATCTCTCTCCAGGTGAAAATCTATTACTAAAGCCAAAATCAGCAATCTTAACATTCATCTGAGCATCTAAGAGTAAATTTTCAGCTTTGAGATCACGATGTGCTACACCCGTTGCATGGCAGTATTCAACCGCAGAAAGTATTTGAGCAAATGTTGCCCGAGCTCTGGGTTCTCCCATTCTTCCATATTGTGCAATATAGTCAAATATTTCACCTTTGCTTGCATATTCACATACCTAACAGAAATATAGAATTTTACCAGAAACTTGATACACTTTTCAAGCTGGATTAAAAAGATTATTCAAACATACCATGTATATCATATTCTTTGTTTCCATAACTTGATATAATTTGACAATGTGTGGATGTTCCAATTGTTTCATTATTTCTACCTCTCTATAAACTTTTTCAAGATTGGTAGGGTCCAACTGTGTTTTATCAATTATTTTAATAGCCACCTAAAACAAAGAGTGTCGGATTTTTAATAAAAAAAAATAACTCAGGAAATGTACACAGTAAAAAGTTTATGTTGCGATAAATCATATCTACCTCTGTCTTGGTAATACGATGTCTAGCTAATTTTACCACAGCAAAGTTTCCTTTACCAATGGTACCTTCAATATCATAAAATCCTACACGAATTTGCTTTTTTCCTTGTCCCACGCCAGAATCCATTGTTATTAAAAAATGTGTTTATCAACAAATGATTTCAAACGACCGTGTTTTTTTTTTTTACTTATATTCTACAGGTATTTGAAATGACTGAAAGTAAAAGAAAAAATATTTTTAAGTATCTATTGAAATTTTTTAACGATTCATTAAAGTATCACATGTCATTGCCTCTTTTTAATAGTAAATAGAATAATTCGTCATATATATACACATTAGCCGAAACTTTTCCGAGATTAAAAGTTTGTTACGGCTCGCCGCTCGAAAGGAACGTTTCCAACGAGAACTGTTCGTGCACTTGTACGCGCAGCATACAAGTAAGACCAACATTGTTATTTCGAGAAAAAGTACAAAAAGTTAAAGAAAACCTTGTAAAAGAATCTCTGTGACAAAAGTATAAAAGCTTCCTGCAACAAGTACAATAGGTATTCTCAACTGACGTCATGGATCGACGACGTCTTGCCTATCGACGGGTCCAGGATCGATACCCGTCGATAGTCCTCGATAAGACGATGAAAGAGAAAAAAAGAGCACCGAGGCGAAGAAGAAAAGGCCGAGTAAAGAACACTGATATTTATAACTTATGCCGAAAAATATGTAGTTTTTCGAGCCTGAGAAACAAGGAGCTCGAGTAACGCTGTCTGACTAGTGCTCGTTACTTACATTCGATCCTGGCCAGAATTACCGGGTATGACACGTCCCGAACCGGTAGAACCGTTTTTGAAGCGAAAAAATCGCGCTGACGCTGTCGACCTCAATGGGTACGTAAGGTCGGAGAGCCGATGCCATCGGTAAAAAGTCGTCCTTCACGTTCACGAGATTCCAAATCTCGTTTTAAAGCGGCGGCGTTTCTACAACAAGGGTCGTAAGAGCTTCGCGTAATGCGGCGGTTCGATACCGACTGACCGACGGCCATGTTGCTACCCCCCTGCTATGCTAGAGTCGCCGGCCTCGTCTCATTCCCTCCCCTCGCTGCTCTCCTTACCCCCTTGTCCATGTCCCAGCCATTCTTAGCGAACACTACCACTAGCGCTACCACTACCACTACCCTCGCATCGTTTTTCCCCACCAGACTCCGCACCACTACTATATAGAACGAGTGCACGCGCGCACACACGTTATCTTCGACAATTGACGTCAACGTACGTGGTACTATCGGCTCATCGTTAATTGTTCCTGGGTGTAATTGCAAGGCAAATAGCTTGTGCGCTACCACGTGGTCGACTAACTACCGACTTCTCTCTTATCTTTTCTTAAATGATTTTTTCGTTGATAAACCGCTCTACACTAGCCAGCCGATTACGTGCATACCGTCAACACAATTCGATCCGTCGTTGTAACGAGATTCGCGTAGTATACGATCGAGAGAAAGTGAAATATAGTTACTTGGCGTAAGCTGCATCGTCAGTTCTCCTACGAGTTTTCTGATACGATTTAAACAAAATTTCATGCGCAATCACCGACTCGTCCGACGTATATAACTCTCTATTTACATTTGTCGCGATCGGAAATACTTTATTGTTTATAGACGGTTATATAAATTATACACTATTTTCAGTTTATGTTATCTGTATAGATAACTTCTTTTCCGTCAGCCGTTGGCAACTTTACGATCACCCGTCATCGACAATCGCAGATAATTAATTCCAGTAAATACTGGTAACTTTTTTTAAGGAATTGACGTCAAAGCTGATTCTTCTATCGTAAGCATTTTTTAACAGCCTGCGAGTTACGTACAAATTATGTTGAGGTTAGACAGTTTTTAGCGGTGCGAAGAGCGGGAACCATTTTGAAAGGAAAAAAAAGTAGCCAATTGTATGCGGTCAGTCAGCACGCATTCCATTTGTTGTGGTAGGTCGAGAGATATATCGTGCGATTGCCGTTTCGCTGTTCGTTATCGAAATTGGTAAAATATGAAACAATAACAGAAGCTTTGTCATCGGTGTTCTTGATTAGATATAACGTTGATAATTAGCTAATATTCTCTTCGCAAGGAATATTTTGATTATTTTATCAGCATCGTGCTCGTCGTAAATATAACCTAAAAGATGGCTCCGTGTATTCTTTCATGCGTCCACGAATGGACAATTTTTCATCGGCAACAAAGTTATTCGTTCAAATCGTGGTACGAAATAGAACTATTTTTACATACGCGCCAGTACGTCATAAGTTAACATTACGTGAGTTCTGTCAATCTAAAATTCATAGATTAATTATTTATTAGTTTCATTAGGTTACCTTTATTGCAAATTAAGGTTAAGGCAAAGAATTGTACCTGACAAAATTACGCGAAAATAAAAATATAATCAACTGTGAGCTGTAAAATTTTTAGATATAACAACAATAATAATAATTTATCGGAGGCGTCAACAATTATATTCACCTTTCTATGTGCATAGAGCAAGCAAATGTATTTGCGAATAACTGTACCTATACAATCGTTTCCTTATCGGAACGTGACAATGTTATTATTTTAAATTCGTCACTTTGTTCCGAGTTTCCTATATCTACGACTATTCCTTTTAATGTGCACAGTGATAATCGGTAGGTGCACGTTGGAAAATAAAATATTCACGAATACCGATGTAACGTACTTGTCGCACGTTAGATAAAGGCTACACGAGAGATTTCTCGTATAGGGTTGTAATAGCATTACGTCTATAAAATTACACGCATGCTAGTGTTCATTTAAGTCGAAACACTCTACGTTTACGAAGCTTTGAAATAATTTAAGCGCGTCGGCCATGTATAATTTCACTCGGCTGCGCCTACAATCGCGGGTGGGCAAAAATCTTATTCAAATGACGTATAACGATAGATAATGGTAGATAATAGGACAGAAATGACGTCCAACATGTTTTTATCCAATAAACCCTTCGTTCGAATTATTCTTTTATTTAGATGATCGTTTCGTCGAAGGATACTCGTGTTATCTATCTTTTCCATGGGTAAAAATAAATCCGAATAAATTCCATTCCGTTCCACGATGTGATTGGTCTAGCAGGAAAAATTCGAAGTATCGTTCACAAAATATTTTATTTTCAGACTTGTTATTCTAACAATTTTCTTTAACTCGACACGTTGACGGTATATTCCCTTCATATCTTGCATTTCGTTTATAACACTTTTGAATATTCGCAAAAACGTCAATTTCATAGAACTTCATAAAATTTCAAGAGAGAGAGAGAAAAAAAAGGTAAAAAACCGAGGAAAAAATTATTTTTCATTCACAGACCGTTCGATGATATTGCTTTTTCGTCGCCAGAAATTGGATCTAGTCGAACCACATTGACCACATCGGTATGAATCTACATATCGATAACGTATCGAGGAGATCATGAAGTCTTTTTGGCTTCTTTTTTACTCTGCGAATAATGCTCGCAATTAACGATCGAATCATCGTAAAACGATTCATGATCGAGCAACACAAATGTCTGCGCGATTTATTCGGGTTACGCGGGACGTAATCCCGTTCAAGCCGACCTGGCTTTCGAGCGTCATCGCGCGTCTTTCATCGACGTATTTTCGGCATCACGCCACGGACGGGCTGGTGTAATATGCTCCACGTGCGTCATAATTAAAACAGCCGAACGCCGTGCCATCGTGCACTTGTCGAAACCTCATGACGATCGCGGAAGGAAGTCGTAACCGGCCGAATCTTCGACTCGCGCGAGTCCTTCCCCCACTCCTCTCCCTTTGCGCATGCCCGTTGCCCTTTGCTATATTTCCCTTCTACAGACGTCTTTGTTCTATTTCTTCTCTCTCGGCGGAAAAATCACCGTTTCCGTTTATTTTTTCTCCTCGCGCTCTTTTTTTGCCTTCTTTTTATTTCTTCGTGCATATCTTGCTTTTTTGCGTGCACGTTACCTTTTTACATCCTTTTTCTTTTCTGAAACGTGTTCGTTTTTGCCTATCTTTTCCATTCCGTCTTTCAGCTGTCTTTCGCGTATCATGATTTTCTGCGCGCTTAGTACTCGTATTTTACGCTTCTTATTAGATATTAGATATTAGCTTGTTCGGAAAGTAATTTCGTATAAAAGAATAAAATATTTATTCACTATGAGAAAATCATCTTTCATTTTCATAAAAAAAAGGAAAAAATGAAATTACTTTTTGAGCAACCTATATATCTTTATTACGTTTGCCCACCATTTCCGGCTTTTTCGAAGTTTTCACGGTTTTCATTATTTATTACCTTTTCCGGGTTTTACGAATTTTCCAACATTATTTTGGTACCTTTTTCGTGTACCTGTTTGCTTTTATCTACCTTTTATTTGTAATTTTTTAAAATTGTTCTCGGCGGTTTTGTATATTTTTATTGACCTTTTGTACGTTTCTCCTGTTTTTTCCGTTTCACCGATTCCCTGATCCTTTTTCAATTTTTTCTTCCCACCTGGTATCTCTGTCGCTATTCTTCCGGGTTTTATTTCGACGACAAAGTTGTCACTCGTATTCCATGGTATGATTCAAAGTTATCGAGGTTTCTTTCGATGGGTGACTCGTTTTCGAAACGGCGATAATTAACGGTCTGTTTTGTTCGTCACGCGAAAGCTGTGACTCATTGTTCGTTTCTTCTAGCACCGTGGGATCGGTATAGTTTAGCTCGATTTTAGATATGGTATATTTGGAAAAGGTGTAGATGTATTACTGGTCAATTTATACTAACGATGCACGAATGAATGCTTTGCATTAAATTTAAAAAATAAAGTCCTTGTTAATTTTGCAAATATTTTAATTCGTATATTCTATAGTAAAATTATATTACATGAAAACGTAGGGGATGTATATAGAAGGATAAATATATGGTTTAATTTAATTCTATTTTATTTTAATTATCAACAGTTTAATTATCTAAATATAAAACAGTTGTAGGTGAAAAATTTCGTCACTTTGCGATGAAAGCGATTTTTAGAAATTAAATAAGGCAACAGTGAAAGAGTATCGTGGTGGTGCGAATAATGTTTAATATATGGAAATAAGTTGAACGAATTAGTAGAATTTGATACGATGATAAATAAAAATCGGAGGATAAAATTTAGTTTCATTTTGGGAGACAAAAGTCTCTATAATTGAAAAATATATGGAAAAGCTGAAATTGAAACGAGTAATTAATTTAATAAAATGATGAATTTAATTTAACAGTAACAATAATATTAACTGAACGCAAATAAGGATAAAAATGAAATTTCATTATAGATAAATTCAAGTATTTTGTTTAAATACTGAGAAAAAATTTTAATAAACGATGATTAGCGAGAGAGACATTACTGTGTTTATCATATTTTGCATAAACCCTATGTGCTATATGGGTTGGATATTCGCCAAAAGAATTTGCCTAAATATTACAGAATTTAATTCACGTCCGACATGATTTTATTTTTTTAGTAATGTCTAGAAACGCGTTTTCCAATTTTTCAGAAATTCATATCAAAAAATAATAGCTTCATAAAAGCTTTATTTGCATCATTCAACGTTCATAATTTTTTGATTCGAAGTAATACGTTTCTTTCATATATGTATAGGCACATTTCTTTTTCCCTTTTATTCCCTATTTTTTTCAGAATCGCTAATTTTATCGACAGTACAAAGCAGTGAACATGGTATGAAAGAAATTCGGTCAATTCCATAAAATACGTTATTTGAAAATCTTTCGTGTCATAGGAGAATAAAAAATTTAATTAAAATATTCAATAACCGTATCGTTTTTGTTGATAAACAACAAACATTGTATAGTCAATTAGAAAAACTATGATAAATATAGAGTATTAGGTTTATATTAATAAAAATTTATAAACTTTCATTTAGTATCTTAATTATTTTAATAAATTAATTATATTTTATTTTACCACGCTTTCCCATGCTCAGTCGAGTTTTATTGAAAATTTGCTTCAGCATTCTGGTTTCAATTCAATTAGCTTCGGATTTCAATTAGCTAGGAAACTTTTGTCAAATTTTGAGTAACTTATTATTAACCATTTATAGCAATTAATTTTATATTTTATACTCTATTGTATTTTGTTTTCTTATAATTACATAATAATGTACTTAACATTATATTATTCAGAATATCATAATTAATTATTAGTATTATTCCTTCGATAATTCATAATTATCTATATTTCTCTAATATATTCCTGAATAAGAACCTCAAAAATAATACCATCATCAAGTAAACCTAACCTCAACCATGTACAATTACTATGTATCCACCATAAAAATTTACTGTAACTCGTATTTTTACACACTTCTCATAATTAAAAGCACCATATTTATCAAGAACCGTAGAAAACCGTAGAACCTAAGCCACCACATAAGCTGTTAGCATTATTAGAAAATTTAGTAACGAG